TGACAGGGGGTGGCGCTGCAACCTCCCCATCGACCCTGCCTTGAGTGTGACAGGGGGCAGTGCCCCAACTCCCCTATCGGTCCTACTCTGTGAGTGACAGGGGGGAGCTCCTCAACCCCGATTGGCCCTGCTCTGTGCATGACAGGGGGCGGCGCCCCAACTCCCCAATCGGCCCTGCTCTGAGCCTGACCAGGGGCTGCACCTAGGGATTGGGCCTGCCCTCTGCCACCCGGGAGCAGGCCTAAGCCAGCAGGTCGTTATCTCCCGAGGGGTCCCAGACTGCGAGAGGGCACAGGCCGGGCTGAGGGACCCCCTCTACCCCCCGAGTGCATACATTTTTGTGCACCGGGCCTCTAGTATGTATATAAATACATGTATACATAAATACATGTAAATATAAATATATACACATGTAAATATAAACATGTATAAACATATAAACATATGTATAAAAATGTGTGTATATATATGTACATACATATAATCTGCCCACAGAAAAGGTCCCAAAATAATAACCAAGCTAGTAGTAGCAATGATCATTCCTAGCATAAGACTGAGATCTTGAAACATGCTTTCTCGCTAAAAGAAACCAAGCCTCCTTGTCTGGGGCAGGAAACGTATGAGATGATCCTGGAACATTTTGTAATATCAGAGAGCAATCCAAGATTACAAGCATCATGACAGAGGGTCTCAGGAACCAAAATGCTCATGTCCAAAGGCTCCCATTGTCCAAAGATGAGACAATTAAGCTTCAATAATGACATTAACTGCAATTGATTGAGACCCATTAAAAGTATTTGAGTCAATTAATTCATGATTTTTAGAAAGACTATTCCTTCTAAGGATGATAGGGATCCATTTATTATACTAAAAACTGATAAGGAAATGAATTAAGTATTTCCCCTGCCTTTTCTATATGAACTATAGCACTGGGTAAGTAACAGCAGATGTAAGTATCTCCTTACAGAAGCATTCTAACTAACAAAACAGAAATGAGAGAAGTAGAAAATAGCATGTTGCTATTCTGAATGAATAAATAGTTATAGGCATTAAGCATCAATGGCCGTTAAGATAATAAAGAGAGAACAAAAAATATTTTGTGCCTCCCATAGTTTTGCCAAACACTAACATTTATCTTGTCAAAAGGGACTGAACCTCAGTTTGATACAGTCTCAGATATGGCTCAATGGCAGGAAACATACAGGGCAGAGGAATATGTTCAGCCTCATTACAGGACACAATTAGCAAAATCCAAATTGAGGAAAACTCTATAGATAGCCCAGGTAAATCAACAGATAAATCATAAGGAAATGGAAGGGATGAAAGAAGAATACTATAAAATAAAAGAGATTATATAATTTTTTAAAAATGAGACCAAACTATGTCTAGGGATACACATTTGTGTAATAAAATTGTAAAAAAGTCAAAAAAGTAATTACTATAAAAGCTGGAATAATTAGTATTTATGAGGATGGAGGGGCTGTGATTAAGATGAGGCAATGTAGAGGATTCTGGGGGAGATGACAAAGTTTTCTATCTTGACCTAGGTGGTCTTCCCTTTATCTTGCCACCCACCCACTTTCCCATTTGTGCCTCAATGCCTGATTGTAAAGAGCTATTTCACAAGCTCATTCAAGAATCTCTTACAGAACTATTTAACAAAACAAATAAGTAAAGTTTTCAGAAAGTATCTGTAGTTACCTAAAAATTTATCCATTGATTCATATATCTGCTCTTGATTGGCAATGCTCTCATTTGAAAATTTCATTGGTTTTCTTGGTACTAAAGTGCTATTTTTCTTATGCCTTGGCAATTCTGAAGAGAAACCAATTTTATCTTTAATAGCATTTGGTTGATGTTTCCGTTTGGAGAAACCAACGTGGCTAACAAAAAAGTCATCATCTGAGGATGAAAAATCATCAATAACCTGAGAATTACAATCTTCATCTGTTGCATACAGTTGGTTTGCTTTCTTCATTGTTTTAGAAAAAGTGTCAAGTTCCCTTTTATTTTCCTTTTTTCTCCTGAACCTCAAAGAACTAGTAGCTCTTTGTTTTCTTACTCTTGACTTGGAGGAAATGTCAATGTCATCAGATTCATCACTAATATCACTACTACCTTTTCTTTTCATAATAGACGTCAGGGTCACGCTCTTAGGATTTAATTGTTTTGAAATTAGTCCACTTCCTCTGACATCAGTCTTTCTATCATCACCATCATTTGTTATTTTTATAGGGTTTTCTGTTTCAGAATCTTCAGATCTATCCGCGGGTGGCCTAGACTTTAAACTACTCTGAAGGGATTTCTGAGTTGTATATTGTGTGGGAAGGATGACATCACTATCTTCTGATTCTGTGACATTCTGTAAAATGCAATGGTGGTCAGTTGTATTTTTAAAATTCTTCTTATCAGACTCAGAAGAAATAGACTGTTCTAAAATCTTTTTACTTTTCTCAAAAACACATTTTTCACTTGGATTTAGGATATTAGCTAATTTCTGATGTTCTGAAGTACCAAGCGGGACTTGATTCTTCGGACAACCAACGTCTATGGCTTCTGCTGAAAGGCATGGGGGCTGCTCATCAGGACTTTCATTGTCAGATGCAGTATTTTCATCGCTGTCATCAACTGCTTTCCATTTTTTCTCGAGCAATTGAGAGAAGCCACACTGGAGTAAGGTGAGCTGTCCAGCAGGACCGGAAGCTTTACTTAGGTCAGATGCTTTGCCTTTGGCAGACTTGACTCTGGAGCTGTCCACCAATTCATCGTCACTGAGGTCGCTGCAGAGACCACATGCATCTTTTGCCGGTAGTTCCGCACCTCTGTGTTCTTGACCGTCAGGCTCTCTAGGCTATGACAGAAATATTAGAAAATGTCAAGAGGATGACATCACATCTATCATACTGGAAAGGAATTAAATTTGGGCAGATAACTTGTACAAGTCTATTACATGGTATTTTGTAAAAGTACACTTAATAAACAAATGTAAAGGATTTAATATTATTGTCTGGTACACTATTTTCTTTTTTCAAGTTTAACAACTTTCTCAAAAGAGAAGTTTAAGCTAGAATACCACGTGACCATTCTGGCCTCAAAAAAGAAAAGCACACAACTTATTGCTTACTGTAGCCCAGCAGATGCTTCTCATTGTGCTTTAAGGAGGAGACAAACAGGAGTTAACAAAGAAAAGAATTTGCAACTGGAAAATGGTTCTAATCAATTAAAATTAAAAATAAGATCAAACAGAATCTTGACAACCAGAAGTAAAGGAAATATTGAAGATATTTTGAAGCAAACTTTGCTGTAAATTTAAATCCATATTTAATTTTTTCACATCAGTCAGAGCTAAGTGTACCCTTCAGTTTCCTAAAACTGAGGCGTTATCAGTCAGCACTTTGGGGAAAGTGTTATCTAGCAATACTTCTGCCAACATTTGCTATTCATGTATTTCTATAAATTAAGAAAAATGTTCACCCCACATTTCAAATCATTGGGCTGGTATAAATATATACCCCTAAAAACAAACAAGAAAAAACCAGCAACCACAATAATTTAAAAATCTACACATAATTTTTACTTTTAAAAGATCCTTTGATAAGAAATATAGATTTTGTATACGTGAGATGACAAACTACTAAAAAGATAGTAAGATCAAGGACTGAAATACTCTACGTAAGAGAATAATTTTGATGTTTGGATTTAATAATCTTAAATACACTTTGATTGCTATTTTCTCATTTAATTTGTTGTCTAGTAAACATCATTTTAAAAGGAGACTTATGTAACACTTTAAATAATAAAGAATTTAAATTTAAAAAAAAGAATTCACAGGAATAAAACAAAAAATAAAAAAACTATCAACATAAGAAAAATCATTTTAGTTTGGATTGGTCACTTATACAGTGCATTTAATTTTGGACTTACAGTTTTGTTTAGTTAAAATTCCACTGTAGATATAAATGCCCGATGTGTGCTCTTGTTCTTATGATAGAAAATGTTAAATTAGCCTACATTATTAATTTTACTGACGGTCCTAATTTTGTGTCCTTGACTCTTTTTTAAAAGGCATTTTCTTTACACGTTGAAAAATGAAGGAGAAAGGGGAGGAAACTTAAGCCTGTCACAGTCCATGTTCTCTAGGCGTTCTGGGCTACAGATTCAACATTGCTTACTGGTTCTCGGTGGTGTTCTTGAGGTTCCTCTTTCAACCACGTTGTGGCTGTCATGACCCCTGCTTCCACTTGGCCTTCTCTCTATAAAGAATGCAAATAACTGTGTAAAATATGGGGTAAAAAACACCCAGATAAACAACAGCAATGGCATGCGAAAACTTGGCGTTAAGAAAGAGTACAGCTTGCTTTAGCTCTCTTAGTTATTTTTAAATTTGCTAATTAAGGAACTCATATACACTTTATATAACATTTAAAAATACTCTTAATTCTTAGGTAGTGGAGTGGCACAGCGAAAGCATGCTGGGCCCATAAAATACTCTTATTTCTTGCTTTAAAGCTTACTTCTTCAGATAGAAAACTAACAGTGCTTTTTAGCCAACTCCATTAAAAGCTCTAGTACAGGGGTGGGCAAACTTTTTTACTCGAGGGCCACAATGGGTTCTTAAACTGGACCGGAGGGCCGGAACAAAAGCATGGATGGAGTGTTTGTGTGAACTAATATAAATTCAAAGTAAACATCATTACATAAAAGGGTACGGTCTTTTTTTTTTTTTAGTTTTATTCATTTCAAACGGGCCGGATTCGGCCCGCAGGCCGTAGTTTGCCCACGGCTGCTCTAGTAGGTAAGGGAGGGTGGGAAAATCTTATATGTATACATACAGTAATGACTCCATAATAACCATGTCTATGTAATAATTACAGTAAGGACATTGTCTACATTTTAAACAGCACAGATAATGTTGAGTACTGAGAACTTGATATTCTAGCCTATATTGCTAGTGTATTTATTGTTCATATTTATTAAAATGCTTATTGATTCCTTAGATATAGTAGTAGACCTCAAAATGAAAAGGCCCATCCTAGTATGAAACTTAAAAAGGTCTTAATTATATAACAGGTTTGCTGTATCTTTTGGGAAATTATCTATAATAATCAAAGAATAATATGCAAATCGACCGAACAGCAGAACGACCATCCGGATGACCTTCCGGACAATCATGCTATGACACGCACTGACACCGGGCCAGCCAAGTGATCACACCCTATGCCTGTCATCCACAGAGGGAGGCGACTGGTGGCGGGGGGTAGAGGGGCAGCGCTGCACAGATGGCAAGCAGTGGCAGAAGTGGGGGCGAGGCCAGCTGCCAGCAGCCCAGGGAAAGAAAGCCCTGATAGGCCCTGATCCCTGGCCAGGACTAGGGACCCTACCTGACGGGTCCTGGATTATGAGAGAGAGCAGGGCCGGGCTGATGGACACCCCCTCCCTGTGCATGAATTTTGTGTACTGGACCTCTAGTTTATGCATATAAAGCTTTTGGTATATCATTTAACAGAGGTATTTAATTGCCTAAATTCTAGAATATTATATTTTCTTCAAAAGGAAATTAATATATTTCTCTTTTAAGGCTTTATTTGTTGATAGAATGAGAGAAAATAATACTACCATCACCAGAGTTTCGAATGTCCAGCTTATGAATACATAGACATACCAATGGCATGGTTCCAGCTACCTGGTATCTATCTGGGCAACAAGTGAGAATTTCCCCTACAGATCTTTAGAGCATGATAAACAGCTTCTAAATTGCCATACTTTCTCTTCCAATGCCTAGAAGCTATTACCGCAAAGGAGTGGGGAGCCTCCTGCCCATGACTGACTTTCATCTTTCCAACAGATGCGAAATGGCTAAACAGCTCCAACTGGCAGTACCAGAAACCCTCGAGCGATCAGAACCCCTTTGTGACAGCAAAATGCAACTGCAGTTTTCTGCTGCAGTGCAGCCCAGCACCTTGGAGACATGGTTAACTCCTCTGTTTTTCTCCTACCCTCTGACCCATCACACTATCAACCCTGGCCCAAACCACTCCATCTCTGGGCTGATTATTGCATTACCCTCCTGCCTCATTTCTTGCTTCCACTCTTGTACTTCTGCTGTCTAATTCTTAATATTTAACCCAGGTAATGCAGATGAGACGATGTCATTCTTCTGTTCAGAACCCTCTGATTGCTTGTTGGCTCCTCAAAGTCAGAGTCAAAGTTCCTGTATGTCCCTGCTTCCTGTCAGGTCTCTGGCCCCATCTCACTCTCTTGCCAACTCCGCTCCAGCCCCTCGGGCCTCCTGCCATTTGAAATCATGCTGTGCGTTCTCCTCCCTCAGGGCCTTTGCATTTGTTCCTCTGTCCCAATCACATCTTCTTCCCCGGTCTCTTCATAGGATAAATGAGTCTCACAGTGAGCTCTGCCCTGGCCACCCCATTTACAATTGAGATGTGGTTTCCTGACAGCCTCCCTCCCTATCTCCCTTCCCACTCCCACTTTTTTTTTTATTGAAGTACAGTTTACATATAACACTGTACACATTTAAAGTACACAGCATGTTGATGTGATACATTTATACACTACAGTATGATTACCACTGTAGCTTTAGCTAACATCTCTATCATGTCCCATAATGATCACTTTTTGTGTGTGGTGAGAACATTTATGATCTTGTCCCTCAGCAATTTTAAAGTATATAATACAGTAGTACTGACTATAATCACTGTGCTGGGCATTAGATTTCAGAACTTATTCATCTTCTACCTGCTCTATTTTTAGCCTTGGAACCTATCATCATAATAGAGTCTAAGCTTCACTTATTTTTTTCTGCTTATTATTTGTCCCCCCATATAGAATTTTTTTTATAGGCAGGATTTTTTTGGGGGTGTATTTTATTAATTTCTGTATACTTAGCTCTATGAACAGTACTTGACATTTAGTATATATTCAATAAATATTTGTGAAATGAACTCTCAACTCTAATTCTAAAGAGAAACTATGATGTAGATTTAAAAAGTCAATGAAAAATATAACTAAATTGCTCAGAAATCATCAGATTAAAAATGTCCTGTAAGTTCTACATCTTAAAACATTTTAAAGGGATTATAGCTTTTAAAAATTAAAATGTATCACTAGAAATGAAATTCATCTTTTATGTTATGATACATGCTTTTACTATAGAGGGCTTAGCATAATAACATTTAAAACACTGTTTGGCCAAAAGCAGCATGAATTGAACCAGGCCTGAATAATTTTAAAATCTGGTTGACAACAAATGAACAACTTTAACTCAATATTTAATAACTGAATGCCAATGATGTGCTTAAACAAAATAAGACCTGGGAGTCCAGTCATTAGTAAACAGGCACTCCTGGAGAAGAAATAAGATATACTTGGGACACCCAGAGAACAAGAGCAACTTCTACTTAATAACTCGGCATACTGGTATGTCTTACCTAACACTTGTTTAACCAAAGAATAGGTGGCTACTCTCATAAAATAGAGAACTAAACTATGGCAGAAAATGGCATAAGTAATATAATGCTAATATATTTTATAATAATTTCAAATTAGAAACATGAATGTCGGCTGGTATGTTGTTTAGTACTCTGAGATGGAGGCAAGGTCTTTAAGAGCCCAGGAGGCCAAACAGGGATATTCAATAGATGAGAGAAAAGAAATGGGAAAACAAGTCTATAACAAGAAACAGCATATTTAAAAACATGAACAAGATCAAAGAAAGGGACTTTAAATGGGCCACTCAATTCAGAATCGGTTACTATAAAATAAAACTCAGCATAGACACCAGCAATGACATACCAGTTGTAATAGTCACAGGGTACAAATAATATGCCCCTTCCTGTTAGCCATGCATCAGTGTTCACTTACTAGTATTAGGCTAGACCAGTGATGGCGAACCTTTTGAGCTCGGCGTGTCAGCATTTTGAAAAACCCTAACTTAACTCTGGTGCCGTGTCACATATAGAAATTTTTTGATTTTTGCAACCATAGTAAAACAAAGTCTTATATTTTTGATATTTATTTTATATATTTAAATGCCATTTAACAAAGAAAAATCAACCAAAAAAAATGAGTTCGCGTGTCACCTCTGACACGCGTGTCATAGGTTCGCCATCACTGGGCTAGAGTCATACCGCTACCTGCTTAACATATGCTTTCTGATGTTACATGTTCACCATGTAAATGTTCTCTCCCACCTCCCACCAAGATGGTCTAAGTTCTTTAAAGACAGGGACCAATTGTTCCTTGAACTATTTTTATGGTACCTAATGAATAAATGAAATATAGAGTGTTAAGGTTTTATTACAAAGTCCTGAAAATTAAGGAAAATATCCTTAATTCTAAGATTCAGTTTCTTCATCTATATGATGGGGGTAGGGGGGTGGTTTGAAAAAAAAATGATAGTCCAGGATTTTATAATACTAAATATCAACTAGAAAATAGGTTAATAGCCTCAGTAGCGTGGTGTATTAAAGAATTTAAAAGATTTTTAAAAGGATATAAATATCTCATTTGAAGAATAAGAAACATCTGTATGCTGAGGATGAACACAACTGGGAGAGTTTGAAATATTGGTGTGGAATTTTTACTGGGAACAGAAAACAAAAATCTCCATGAAGACATGAGAGTGCATCTCAGGGAATATTTGGTAACTTTTAATCAAAACACATTTTATACTTTTGTTTATTTAGGAAAGTCTCTCTCTCTCATTTTTTTTTTTTTTTAGTTCCTGACTTCAACAGCTGTTTCAAAATAATAGACTTCTCTTTCCCAGTCTGAAAATGGCGCTGGAGGTCACACTATCTAGTATATGTGTCTGTATTTGTGTGTGTGGATTATTTATTAGTATGCATGGGAAAAATCTTATTATAGAGGTACAATAACTCATTTCTAATTTTTCAAAAAGTAGAAATTGTAAGCATAAGGCATTTTTTTATGAATAAAACCACAAATTTCCCTGAAAAGGCACTAGCAATTATATTTCAAGTTTCCTGAGGGAGAAAACGATGTTTAAAACATTGGAAAGGTCAGAGAAGAGTTTCACACCTCCAGGATGTCCTTCGTAAGACAAGACCCTTGGGGCCTCAGTTTGAAGATATTATAGAGTCCAAAAAGCTCTCCTCGATGTTCTTTTGATCCTTGAACTGCTTCAAAATATCGCTTGGCATTTTCGCTTCCAACCACCACACACTGAAGTTGCTAAAACAGAAAAAACACAAGATATTTTTGAAGTGTTTGCTCCAACAATATGTCAGAATTTCCTGGCATTCCATGTATATACACAGCTTTAGCTGGAGCAGGCAGATTCTCCGTAGGGAGGAAATTTTATTTTCCTAGCAGATGTTGCCATTATGGTGAAATAATAATAATCTGGCCAGTCCTATTGAAGAATACTATTTTATCAATTTCTACCAACTCAGTCAAGATCACATCTCGAAGGACTATCCACCTGACATAAAATGTTTAATAATATAGGCATACATTTGGGTTCACTTTTCTCCTTTCCCGACTATTATTACAATGGGAACTACTAAAACTGATGAAATAATTACTACATTACCAAAGTTAAATTATAGTGTGAAGTAATCATATGATAACCATATTAGTGTCAAACTAACTGGCCATGGTTACACTGTCAACTAAGAGCAAGAACCCATTTACTGTTTTGAAACATTGCATCTTTGAAATAATCTATACTAACAAAAGGGTAATATGCTAATTAGACTGGACATCTTCCGGACATCCTTCCGGACAAAGCCATGGTGGTGGGGGCCGAGGCAGAGGTGGTTAGGGGCAATCAGGCTGGCAGAGGAGAACAATTAGGAGGTGATCAGGCCAGCAGGGAAGAGCAGTTAGGGGCGATGAAGCTGGCAGGATAGAGCAGTTAGGGGCGATGAGGCCGGCAGGGGAGCAGTTAGGGGCGATCAGGCAGGCAGGCAGGTGAGCGGTTAGAAGGCAGTGGTCCCGGATTGCAAGAGGGTGCAGGCCGGGCTGAGGGACACCCTCACTGTGCACGAATTTCATGCACCGGGCCTCTAGTTTTGCATATATAAAGAATATTAACATGGAACCCTTAAGGAGATATGCCACTTTTGTATCAATATCAATGTGTCTATTTACTGGCTATTTTTAATGAATGTAATGTAAATATAATCTGATTAACCCCATGTATTTTTAAATTACTTGAAAGAAACAAAAATACACAGAATGAAAACAACTTCAGTCTATTGTTGATAGAATTAGTAAGATATCACATGTTATTGTGATTATCAGAGTTGATTTGTACTGTAATAAATTACTCTAGGCAACTAAAATTATTCTTAATAATAGCTCCTATTTATCAAACACTTACTACATGTGTAGCATTTTTACATTCTCTCATTTAATCCCTTACAACCCTATAAGACAGTAACTCCTGTCTTGGCCACTGTGGGTCAGTGGTAGAGCATCAGCCCACGCACTGAAGGGTTGAGGGTTTGATTCCCAGTCAAGGACACATACCTGGGTTGCAGGTTCGATCCCTGGTCCTGATCAGGGCTTGTGTAGGAGGCAACCAATCAATGTGTCTTTCTCACACTGATGTTTCTCTCTCTCTCTCTCTCCCCACACACCCCCACCTCCCTTCCACTCTCTTTAAAAATTAATGGGAAAAATATCCTCAGGTGACGATAAACAAAAATGTTTATATATATATAAAAATCTCCTTTTCAGAAATAAAGAAACTGGATTTGCTCTATTTTAGAAATAAAGAAACTTACATTTAGGGCAATTAAGTGCCTTGGCCACAGCTACCCAGCTAGGAAGTGTCATTTCTAGAATTTATAGAAATAATATAGGCATACATTTGGGCTGAATCCAAAATTTATTTGTAATAAATAATTTTTCACCTCCAGGATGTTCCTCTTAAAACAAGACTCTTGTGACCTTAGTTTGAAGAAGTTATGGATCAACATATCAGCTTAATCAATTCAATATCAATGTCCCAGAAGCATGGGCTACCCTTCTGGGAATACAGAACCACAATAGCAGTCGATGAACCAGATGGCCTCATTACCAATGATTTTACCCTCGATACTTACTTTACCTTAAACATTGTATTATCAGACTGCAGCACTATTAAATATAATTACCAAAAATAATTTGTAAGCATTAAATCTGAATCTTGTAAGTGTAATACCAAAGTTTTATCACAAAACTTATATAAAAGGCATAGTACTTTATACTTAAAATGAGTTTTCCAAAGTGGTTCCAGTAAAAGAAAAGGCAGATGAATCCATCTGTAGGCTAACTATATATATTTTAAACAACACCGGAATTCAAGAGGGTAGGGCAAAAAAATAGTAATTGGAAAATGTAGCTTAGTTTCCAGCTTAAGAAAAACTCATATAAGGCAAGAAAATGCTTGGATTTGTTCACAATACAAAAGAAAAGAAGGAATGCTCATCACGTTGAGGATTTCATGACCCTCTCCTCCATTTTTAAGGTCAGCAGTGTGGCATCTTCATGTCCTTCTCTCTGACCCTCTTCTTCTGCCCTCACATCTCCTCTTCTCTGTGTTTGATCCTCCTTCCCTCTCCCCTCATGAGGATCATTGTGATTACATTGGGCCCACCCAGACAATCCAGGTGCTTTCAGGGGATTAGGATGTGGACATCTTTGGGGGACCACTATTCAGTTCACCACAGTGAGAAGTGCAAAAAGAATTATGAGGCCTGTCAAAATGACAGGATTATAGAGGCCTGTCAAAATGACAGATGCCACCTTGATAGGGTTCCCACTGGCCAAAAATGATACAGTTTGAATATCAATATAGTCAATGAGTTGCAATGTTACTAAAGTAGGAACCCATGAGTCCACACAGATTAAATAAATAGAAGAGAGGGGGAAATAAGCTCTCATGGTAGAATGCCAACAAATTTTTAAAAAGCAGGAATAATGGAAATAGAAAAATCACCATCTGACAACCATCACAGTGGTAGCTGATTCAGGAGGGAATCAGCAGTGAATGCTAAGGCCAATGGGTAGAGGTTTGATGAGAGACAGCACATTAGCATAAACAGAGATTTTCCCATAAGATATATATCAATTACAACCAGATGCTAAGGCCAATGGGTAGAGGTTTGATGAGAGACAGAACATTAGCATAAACATAGAGATTTTCCCATAAGATATTTATCAATTACAACCAGAAAAAAATGGCAACTTGCAGTGGAGAAAGCCAGCAGACACAAACTTGCTTGGTGATTAAGGTTGACATCACCAACACCGGGGCAGGGCACCGCCATGTGCCTTCTGACCACTGCAATGAGCAGAGCACAGAACTGCTTCATACTGTTCATGGCCAGGCTTCTGGGCTTGAGTCTGGGCACGAGGAAACATCAACGGACTGATAATGAAGGAGATCCTACACAGGGAAGGCCTATTCTTTAAAACTATCAAGAACATGAAAGCCGAGGAAAGCTTATTCCAGGTGTAAGAAAACTAAATAGACACAAAAATAATGTAACCATGATCCTGGTTTGGATCCTGAACCAGTTAGGAAAAAGGAAGCATTACTAGGGCAATTGGTAAAATCTGAATGGGTTCTGTGGATTACAAGGTAATGGATCACTGTTAGACTGTTAGTTTCTTGATTTGGATAACTGAGTTTTCGAGAGGACAGTGAGGGGAAAAAGCAAGTTGCAGAACAATATGTAAAACTGAGTGTTTATAATGCATAAAATTATTTTTTATCCTCATCGGAGGATGTGTTTATTGATTTAAAGAGAGGGAGGAAGGGGGGGGGGAGGGAAAGAGAGAGAGAGAGAGAGAGAGAGAGAGAGAAACATTGATGTGAGAAACATCAATTGGTTGCTTCACACAGGCACTCTCACTGGGGATCAAACCTTCAACATAGGTATGTGCCCTGACTGGGAATTGAACCCCCAACCTTTTGGTGCATGGGACAATGCTCCAACCAACCGAGCCAACCAACCAGGGCAAGCAGAACACTATTTTTATATGTACACATAAATAGGAGAGTGTCCTTGTTCGGGGGAAATCCACACTAGACAATTTAGAGGTGAGAAACCAGCAACTTTCAAATGGTTCAGAAAAAGAATAAACATCATAGCTGAGAGAAAGAGAAAGCAAATGGGGTGAAATGTGAACAACTGGGGAATTTGGATGAAGTTAATTCAGAGTTCTTTGTGCTGTTCTCACAACTCTTCTGTAAATAAAAACTTATTTCTAAATACATTTCTGAAGTCCAAACTTTACATTACATGCAATGTTCCAAACCTGAAGGACAGTTGCTGTGGACTTGTTCTTTACCTTTTTTTTTTTTTTTTTTTTTTTTTTACTTTGTTGATTTTTCAGAGAGAGCAAGGGGGAAACATCGATGTGTTGTTCCACTTACTTATGCATTCATTGGTTGATTCTTGTATGTGCCCTGACCGGATGGAACCCACAGCCTGGGTGTATTGAGGCAATGCTCGAACCAACTGAGCTACCCTGCAGGGCTTGTTCTCCACGTTTTACATGTTTCTTTTACTTGGGGCCTCTGTCCTTCTTTTCCTTCTGTTCTCTTCTTCAACGATAAGACTGATAATGGTGGCTAACCACTGTGCTGGTACAACTGAAACTAATACAAAATAATACTGAATGTAAACTGTAATTTAAATTTTTTTTAACATAAAAAAATACAAAGGCTGATAATGGAACTTCTAGATCTAGCCGTCATGTTCTCTAACTTTTCTTCCATGTGTTGTTTCTCTGTCTTTTTGCTCTGTAATGTAGAATTGTGTGGCTTTCTTTTAGATGAAAACTTTGCTCTTTGCTACTCAGCCTATCTTTGGAGTTTTTCATTGTTTGGGATTATTTTTCCTAGTACTCTGTTGTTTCCAAGGTCCTACAACCTCACTTACTATTTGAATATGTTCTTTATATTTCTTTCATAATCTCTTCTATTAATTTTGTTTTCTCTGAGGTTACTTCTTTTTTGGAGTGCCTGCATTAGTTCCTACTGCTCCTGTAATCTACACTAATAAAAGAGAAACATGGTAATTGGCATACGACCGCTACCCTTTTCATTGGCTAATCAGTGAGTATATGCAAATTAACTGTCAGCCAAGATGGCAGCCGGCAGCCAGGCACTGAAGCGAGCAGGGAGGCTTGCTTGCTGCAGACTCCAACGTTCCCCGCCT